TTTAATTAAATTTGATGTATTTCAGCTTAGACAATCATAAATATTTTTTCAGATAGGGAAAATATATCAAGATCAAATTTAGAACACATTCACGCTTCTGATGAGCAAAAAGTACAACGTCTGTGTATAACGCAATCGGGAAAGCGAAAAGCAGTTGATTTTTATGATTATATGTTTATTATATTATATTATTATGTTTTGCCCTATGTCTATGTTACATAGATTTTCTAAAGATTTTCTGATGCAATGAAGGTCTCTGGAAAACATACAGTTGCTAAGCGGCATACTTGCCGCTACATTATGCAAAGAAATTTAAGTTGTCAATATGGAAGACACTATTAGTAATACTGATGCAAGCAAAAATTAGAATAGAGTATAAGTAAAACAATTACATTATTACAAATTTATACATAATCATATTACACACTATCAGACATGATATAATAATTTATAAGATTTTAAACAAGGTAAGTAGTAAGTACATTAATTTTTAATTACAATAAATTACAAAAGTAATAACAAAATATAAATTATAGTAGAATACTAGAATAGTAGAATTCAATGTTCATACAAAACTCTTAACTAATAAGTGATAACGACGTATCATGATAACGGGTGACGGACTGAATTATTTTAGTGTTACCAACTGTGTAATACGAATGATGCTTCATGCTCCACAAGACACTAGTACAATATGTTTAACCAGGAGAATTTACATGTTACCGACAGGTAGTACTAATGTTGACCCGGGAGAGTTTACATGTTCCCGTCAGGTAGTACTGAAGTAGACCCGGTAGAGTTTACATGTTCCCGTCAGGTAGTACTGGGGGAGACCCGGGAGAGTTTACCATCGGGAGAGTTTACATGTCATTAAAATCGGGAGAGTTTACAATCGCCCTATCAAACTCTTTTCAGAGTTGCCCTCATCCTCCTCACTTTGGGCCTCCGATGTTTTTTCTCCTGGTACCTGGGCTGACGACTCGCCAGTTACCCCAAACCTTAATGATCTCGGGTCCATGTGCTCCTTGGTACGAATATACTCCTCTAATACTAGGAGTTTATCTACCTTGGACCCCCCGGTCTCAATGCCACGCTTCGATAATTCTCGGTTAATCTCAACAATATTTAACTCATTAATGCATTTACTGTCCATTATGACTATTAAATTATAATTTCTATTATCTACCTAATTAAAATACGTTAGATATGAGATTAACTTCGATCGGGATATCGCTGGCTGAACTGTACTTTCCAATCTATAAATAGCCTAAACCAAGTTTAGCTCTGAAGGAATTACGCTAAATTATGCAAATTTCACTACAATTTACCACCTTAGATTGGACAAGCCCTTAATATTTTATTTAAATTTAAAAAAATAATAATTTTCATAAAACTATTTAGGAACCGGTATGATCAGGACACCTATTGTAGGTTCTTTTAACCCGATATGTGCTAATTTACTTTAATTT